CACTGGATAGCAAACCAGACATGTGTGTGTGTGTGTGTGTGTGTGTGTGTGTGTGTGTGTGTGTGTGTGAAGAAAGATTAAGAAAGTAAAAGTGTGTGAGTATGCACAGTGAAATTCATGTTTAGATGGGAGTCATAAAAAGATTACTAATGCAACATACGAAAGTATGCTTGGCAATTAAGTCTATAGTTTCTGAAATGTCTTAATTCAGAGAAACCTTTAAAGGTGAGGTGTGCCATTTCTTGTTAAAATGCCTATGTCTTCTTAAAGTCAGCATGAATTGCTGTTTGTAACCCATTTTCTTTCCATAATATACTGTACACTACCATTCAAAAGTTTGGGGGCAGAAAACTTTTGCATTTATTCTTTTTGCATTGTTCCAAAGAATTTATGTGAAATAGATTATTTTTACTTTCTGTTCATTAAAAATCCTTTAAAAATGTATTACGGTTTCCACAAAAAATTATTAAGCAGCATTACTTTTTATTAACATTGATAAAAAAAAAAGATCATGTGACACAATATATAAAAATAGAAAAGTTATTTAAATTTTAATATTATTTCACAATATTACTGTTTTACTATATTTGCGATAAAATAAATGCAACCTTGCATAAGCATAAGAGACTTCTTTCAAAAACATTTAAAATATTTTACCGACCCTACACTTTAAATATTAGTTTATTTAAAAATGAAGTAAGATATTCAATGAGAAAATATATAGGGTGGGAGTCAGGACTTGATTTTACCCAGAAGGAATTGATTGAACATCCAGCACAACTATAATTTTCTGTCACTCTCCCTATCTATCACAGAAAGAGTTTGTTTATCTGTCTACATCACTCAGGGACTCCCTTCTGCTCTCCCAAAACTGCCTCTTCATCTGCCCTTGATTTCTTTTCAGGTCTTTCTGTGTCCAGTCATCTTTTTGCCACTTTTCTGTTTCATTGATAATGAATATCTCTCCATTTGGGCTGACAAAGAGGGTGATAACCTTGCCCAAGGTCTGGCGTAATTGACATTGTCAAGTCAGTATGAGTTGTTTTCAGATGGAGAGGAGCTTTTCTGCTTTGCAAGCTTTCTCCAGTACAGAGCAAATATTCCTGGGGTGCATCAGCCATTGCAGATAAATTTGAGAAGCCTCCGGAATATTTCATCACTCTTTGTCTCTCAGATTTTCTTCTTCTCTGTCACCCCGTCAGGTTCCACAGGCTGGACGTTTGACTCTCCATTCTGTTGTTAAGCAGTTAGTGCAAGTTTTGCATTTTCTGTAAGCTTGGCCAGGAAGGCAGAAAGACAAACCTGTGCGCCCTGAAAAATGAGCTGCGTTTCGACTTCAAGGCTTAATGCACAGAACTTTTGACTCATGTTTTTCTTTGTTCTGACAGTTTACATTCACTCAACTGACTGTGTTTACATTAATGACCCACCAAAGTGCATAGGCTGACAGTCAGCACTATCTAGAGTTTGACAGAACTTTTAAGGATGGCCCACTGGCCCGGAGCCAGTGTTGAGAGAGTTTTGGGCCAGTTCTGCATCTGTTGTTGTACATCCATTTTTATGCCTTGCAAACCTAAACGTTTGGTAATCTGTAATGTGTTCTGCATTGTCGTTTTATCACCAAGAGAATGTTATCTAGCTGGATAACATGGATGACATAGAGGCCTTGATAGTACCAGTAAGATTGTGTTGAAAGTAATGGTTTAAAGTGATTAAAACGTGATGTGACGTGTAGCCAAGTATGGTGTCCCATACTCGGAATTTGTGCTCTGCATTTAACCTATCCAAGTGCGCACACACAACTTGAACACACACCCAGAGCAGTGAGCAACCATGTGATGCGGCGCCTGGGGAGCAGTTGGGGGTTCGGTGCCTTGCTTAAGGGTCTCACCTCAGTCGTGGTATTGAAAGTGGAAGAGAGCTCTGGTCATTCACTCCCCCCACCGACCTGCCGGACCTGAGACTCGAACCCGCGACCTTTGGGTACAAGTCCGACTCTCGAACCATTAGGCCACGACTGCCCCCTAACGACTGTTTTGCATCATATGCCATAATTTTTCTTTAAAAGTTTGTTTATGAATTTATGGAGTTATATTATAGCTGCAGAAGGGATGTTGCAATGTACCAGTAGTGATGATAACCGTGATATTTAAAAAATGAAATATTGATATCATGTTAAAACTACACATACAATATTATTGAAAATAATCCAGCACCAGTAACTTGATCCTCCATTTGACAATCCAGTTGGCAGCTACAGTATGTCAAATTACAGGTTTATTTTTTTTAGCAAGTTTAAAAGTTTGTTTTCTCATTGATTCATTTTCAAATTATTTATTTCTAATTGAGTAAATATTATGTAAAATAAATACAAATTTAATTTACATTTCGTACTTCATTTATATAGCACATGTTATTTGCTATCTTTAAATTAAATAGTGTTTTATCATATTGGCTTTATATTGACCACTAGGGCTGGGTATCGAGTTTGATACTTTTTAGGCACCAACCGAAATGCCTCGATACCATCGAGTATCGAAAAACGTCTCGTCGTTCGGTACCAAATTTCGATACCTAAGGGGTTAATCTCATCTCGGGATTCAGACCCGAGTCCTATCAAAACCTGAATGAATTAATAATAATTAATTCCCTTACAAATTTAAGTAGAGAAGTTATCTACAACACCTACTAGTTTACACTGGTTACACTCAGAGATGTGGCGCACACGTGAGGCTGTAGTGTGAATGCATCCCAGCCCCCTTAGATGTAAGGCAACATTTACACTGGTGTGTTTATGTTTTAGAAATGAAAACGATCCTCGTCATACTGGCGTTTCCACTGCGTTTCAAGCCGGCTTTCCATTATCTCCAACAAGCGACAGACCGGTCATTTAGTCATTCATTTCCAATGGAGAGTAGCGCGGGAGCAGCATGGAGTTCCGATCATATGCAGATGTCCGTTCATACTACACGACCGAAAGCGCGTGTTACGTGAGCATTCATGCAAACTGTAGCTTCATGCTACATAAGACAATAAATAAGAAACACGCACTAGTGTAAATGTAGCATAACAGATGTGTAAACTGAAGACTACTTGAGCTTTATTAAAACTATTTGCACTGATTTATTGTGTTGGTTACATTTTGTTCCTTTGTGCAGTAGCTCAGGAGACGAGTCTTTGAGTTTGTATAAACATCAACAAGCTCAAAAATAAAACCAAAGTTTTTTTTTTAAGATAATGTAATCTTGTTCAAATTGATTTCATAAAATTGGTATCGAAAAAAGTATTGTTCAGGAACCGGTATCGAAGTCAAGGTATCTGTATTGATATCGAAAATTTTTGAACAATACCCAGCCCTATTGACCACCCTGATCTCTAAAATATTGACATCGGCCATCAATATCGAAATCAGTATCGATCGACCACTACTCAGAAGTGGTTAACATAAACTTGCAGTCCATTCATGCAGTTGCCTTTAAATTTATAATTATTAAATTCTTTTAAATTTTGTTTTAAAAAAGCCTCCTTACAGAATATGTGGTTGACATTTCACAGGTGCCTGACACCCCAAGGACCCCAAATTACTTAGTTCAACATACAAGATATAAACGAATATTCCATTGCACTGGATGTTAATGACAGAGAGGCATCAACAGAGAATCAAGCCTGAGCAGAGACAATAAAGCCACGCACAGCAGCTTTCAGCATCACAGCTGAGCCTTCTCTAGGCCTTAGGTGTATAGCTGGCACAGCAGTCAGTGCTCTCCTGGGATCAGCAGGAGATAAACACATTTAGGTGCACATGTGACCTCTGAGCCCATTCAACAATGCCAGCCTCCGTCTCTCCCCCTCCCACAGGAAGTCTGACTGAAAATCAGCCTTTTATTGGTTAACACAATGTCCATTATCCACGGGTAACACATTACAAAGCACAGCATTACAGTTTTTCTCATTTATGAGGCTATAAGGATGATTCTAAAGGTGGTCTGTTATAGTGATGTGTGTTATTATAGAAATTATATGTTATGAGTATGATTGTATAGGAAGGATACTGTGAAAGAGTTTGTGTGATGCCACCTTCATCGTTTTTTGTGCAGGCTTATTCTGGCTGCTAACAGAGACGAGTTCTACAGCAGACCGTCCAAAGCTGCAGACTTCTGGGGCAGCAACAATGAGATCCTCAGCGGTAAGGATCAGTCTTATTTTTCAAATGTTAGACAAATATTTAATATCCAAAGTCCCGTTTTTATCTCAGCTACATTCTGAGACTTATTGACTTAGCTGTGTCACTGAGGAATTCAGATGTTGGTTTTTACAGGAGAGTTTGTCTGAACTGCATATAACTGAGTTCCTACAGTTTAGGTTGAACAAGAGTTTCTTCAAGAGTCTTTTGCTTAAACGCAGCCCTTATTGTTTCTCACAGAGCCAGACATTTGGCTGTCTGCATGATGTCTAATCCATGATGCATGTCATTCTGGTCAAGAACAGCCCACTTAGAGCACAGATTGTTTAATTTTTTCCAATTCATTTGCTACTAAACAGCTAGTTAAGTAGTGTGGTTGTGTAGTTTATCCCAAAGTTTTTGTTTTTTTTTTGTACAATATTTTGACTATTTATCCACAAACTAGCTGTGTTTAATTTTTTCCAATTCATTTGCTACTAAACAGCTAGTTAAGTAGTGTGGTTGTGTAGTTTATCCCAAAGTTTTTTGTTTTTTTTTTGTACAATATTTTGACTATTTATCCACAAACTAGCTATTCGAATAGTGTAGTTGGCTAGTTTATCTAGATTTTTTTTCTAATATTTGTTTAGGTTTGATATTTTTACTATTTGTCCACAAACTAACTAGTCAAATGATGTGGTAGGCTAGTTTGCCTAGACTTTTTTTCCCCCTAATTTTCATTTTAGCTTTAATATTTTAACTATTTGTCCACTAACTTGCTAGTCGAGTGGTATGGTTTGCTAGCTTGCCTATTTTTTTTTCTTTTAATTTTTATATTAGTTTTGATATTTTTAGTACCTTTGCACTCAAGAGGTGCTTTGAACTCATCTTGTGCTTTTTAGCCTATTATTTAATTCAGAAAATATCAGTAAATTCTGTTTGTGGATATCTAGATTACTTGCTACTGTGTTTTACATTTCAAAGATTTGATGCCACTGGGAAAATGGCTAAATCCAATTCTTCAAACTACTTCATGCCGGTTTAAACTGCATCATCTAGTGAGTCAGTGATTATTTGTCAGAACATTCAGTTTGGAGAGAATTATTGAAGATTATGTTTTCCTGAGGAAACACTGAATCATTTAGAAGATAAGCTGGTTGCATCTACTGCTTCAGGGGTTATGATTATGTTTAAGTCTCTTGCATCATGCCTCAGTAGTGGGAATTCAGTCATAATCAATGTGACATTAGGAGAGGAAAAGGTAATCATCCACATTTGTTTAAGTGTCCATTGTCAGGATTCAGCTGACCACCCTCAAGGAGTAAGAACTGTTCAATTGACTGATAACCCACAGTCTGCTAAACAATACATCCCAGAACAAAAATCAGTCATTCCCCTGGCTCCACAAGATCATTGTTTTTTTCTGTCTATGTTCTGCCATTCAGTCCTTGGATCAGACAGAATTGGATGGCCTTTAATTTATGGGTGCTTTTATGTGTAGTTTTAGAAATAAATTCTGCTGCTAAGGAAAAAGCCCTTACTTGTTTGAAGGAGTGAAGTATGGGGTATGGATGAGAAATGTTGGATGAGAATTTAGCTGAAAGATTGTATGAAACTGAAATGTTCATAGTCTTTGGGTGAAGATGAGAAGGCCAGGTATTTTAAAGATAATATTGGATCTGTTGTCCTGTGAATTGAAGCTAAATGTTACTATTATTAAAGGGGTAATAAAAAGACATAAAAATAAAACATACAAATGTTGCTAAAAAGAACATTATTTTGTGTATTTGGTGTAATGAAATGTGTTTATGCGGTTTAAGGTTAAAAAAATAAAGTTACACCTTCTTTCTTTGCGTGAACATTTGGGCAGTGTTATGCAAATCTTCCCACATAGTGACATAGATATGTGGGGGCGTGTTTAAACGAGGCGTTTTAGGAGGGCGTGGACGAGTCTTAACTTTTATAAAGAATATCTCTTTGGGTTTGAGACTTTAGTCTTTGCAACTTTAGGGATCTTATCTATTCACGAACAGCTTGTAACACTCCAAAGAGAAAGGAAAACTTGAAATCGCATCATATGACCCCTTTAATGGGCCTATCACTAAATATGAATCACTCTGTGGTTTTGCTGTGTTGTTTTGCATGAAGCTATCTAGCGCTGTTGTTTTTGGTAGAACTGAGTGATTCAGTTGTTCAGAACTTCTCCTCTTTTCAAAGCACTAGATCAGTGTGCTTGGGCCTATAAAGTATTTTGTTTTCTTTTTCAGTATTAAGATGAAAAATATTATTCTGTAACTTTCAGTCCAGGTCATTCTCAGTGAACATTCCTGAGCTATTCGGTACATCTAAATCTGAACTCCTGCTGGTTTTATTATTATAGCCAGCAGACAGGATTTAATGTCACTTCGGCATTAAATCACAATGTGATTTTTGTTTTCTGTCATTAGGTCTGGACCTGGAACAGGGAAAGGAAGGCGGATCGTGGCTGGGAATTAGCAAACGAGGGAAACTGGCAGCACTGACCAATTACCTGGATGCATGGCAAAATCCTGACGCTCAGGGGAGAGGTAGTGCAGATCTTTCACCCATTTGTATTAATGTACTCTACTATTACTGAGCAGTTGACTAGACACACTTAATCAACGTATTACCCTGACAAATTACTCTTAATAGTAGCATAATTCACCTTTGAAAAGCCTTCATCATCCATGTATTTTCTGTTCAAGTAAGCAGGCATGCAGAGATTATTTTCCTGTTTTTTATATATATATATATATATATATATATATGTATATATGTGTGTGTAAAAAAACGGCTCAAGCAGATCGAGTCTCTCATTAAAATTTGCTATATGCAAACATATATCATGGACTAATATACTGAAGAGTCTTATGCAACAAACACCTCTATACATGCACACCTCCAAATCCTTTTTTTATGTATTGTCTTATAATACACAAGCATAAAGCTGAAACAAATTTTACCAAAGAACGGAAGTGCTGAGAAAGTAAAAACAGCCCAAAGGGGCTTGAACAAAATACTTTCTCACAAATAAAAAATAAATTTGATTTTCAAATCAGCAAAAGAAATAATAACAATAACTAGATTTTTACATTTTTCTGAAGAAAATGTGAGTGGTGCTTGCCTGTGCAAAACTCGCAGATGATGATAGAAATGGCCAAATTTTTCTAAATTTCCTATAATAGTTCTGTAACATTCTAGATATGGCCGGGGACTGGAATTTTTGTCCGTCTTATCAAGGTGATGCTATGCGGATGCTAAGGCCTTCTTAGCGTTTTTTAGCATGTTGCTATTTTTTAGGGTAATCTGGGTGGTGGTTAAGGCATTGCTAGGTGGTTTTTAGGATATTCTGGCTGGTTGTTAAACCATATTAATAGAAAGAGCCCATGAATAAGTGTCTAGTCCCTGGATAGGACTCGGGTCCCTCCGTCCATCTTGGTTTATGGAAAGTCATGGCACACTTCACTCCTCAGTAAAAACTGTATGATTTGAGGTATCATTCATCAGAGGTTTACAACAAACCTTTGACCAAGAGCAATAATAATAGAGCTACTTGTATTTGCAAGAAACACTAACGATAATTATAATAATGTAAAAAGAAACTAAAAGAAATGAAAAGAAAGTACTATCCACATGTGCCACCAGAGTACTTTGATGTTTAATAGATGGTTCTTCAGATCAGTTGAGATTAAAATGACCCTAGTTTTAACACATCATTGCAGATTTTTTACATTTTCACCTACGTTTTCAAATTTCACTGCTCCAATATGAAGCTTATTCTAATGATGTAGTTTTTCTTTACTCATAACCCACCATGCTGAAGAAGTTAGGCTGAATATTAAGTGGAGTTGCCTTAATTGTGTTATTCTTAATGATTGCTGACATGTTATGGGTGGTGAGGCCGGAGACGTGAACAGCTGTTCACTGCAGATCTCCACTCAGCTGAACTAGACTTCTCACTGTCATTACTCCAATGTCTGTTTAGGTTCTTCAAGGCCTCTTTATAAGCTGACACCTCGCTAGCACTTACCATCAAAAGCATGTCGAACACACCCCACCCCTCTGTTCCCAAGCCATGTCACTAAATATAATGCAAACAACCCAGCTGTTATTTGGATGGTTGTACACAACAGCTGCGTGCAAGAGCTGGAGCAATATGGCTCAGTACATGTTGTTCAACAAATTGCATTCATTTGAGCAATTAGTTCTCTAAATCTGCCTAAATTACTTATTTGAGAGTGGACAAAATGAAATGACCTTCACCAAGCAGTTCACAACCCATTCTTCCTCTTTCACAATCCATGGTTGTAATAAATTGGATTATTGATACACGCTTGTCTGCATTTATCGTTTTTACTCAGGTTCCCTGGTGTCCAACTATTTGATGGATAACTTGGACAGTTTTGCATACCTCCGTAAAGTGTCTTCAGAAGCTCATTTATATAATGGCTTCAATCTCCTTACTGCTGACTTCAGGTGAGTGGTGGAAGGCAAATCTTGATTGGCTATTTTCATTATCTATAACCTTGCTTAAATGGTGAATACATAGAAATAATCATAAATGGTTTACTGTTAGCGATTTCCCTCAATTTGTGAAAGCATTTAAATTCAAACTCATTCAAATAGGTGTTTTTTCTGTTTTAATCTGTTTGGTGTTGAGGTGAATTTGTTATATTTGTTGGAGTGTTTGGTGGCAAATACAGTCATAATTTAGTTTAGTTATCATAGTACATCAAACTTTAATTATTATCAGACTCTAAAAGATCATTTAAATTAGACATTTAATGAAGTGGCTTATTGATTGAAATTCTGTCAAATAATAAAACCTGAAATGCCTTTGTTTCTTACATTTAAAGAAAGAAAATTAAATGATAATGTGATGCCATTCTTACTTCAGTCTTTCAGTTAAATCCAATTAAATTATGTACATTTCAGATGTCAGTTTACTAATTAAAACCACTTGTCACTAATTCTAACCAAGTCTGTTTAAAGAGATGCAAAGTTTTGAGAAATAACTATAAGTGAAGTGCCTCTCTTTCATGATCTCACTTTCTTTATCATTTGTTATGAGGATGACATGACAGTGATGATACTGTCTTAAGCTCTGGAGTCCTTAAGAGGGACAGCAGGCACTGGTGCCGCCACCTGCTCTCCATATACCGAAGCTCAAGAAATCTATTTAGAATATAGTCCGAACAGATGGCGAGTTTCCAGCAGCGTGACTTTCTCAGAACATAGTAATTTGAGGCGATTT